TTATTTGTGACTTGATGTTATTGATGTTAAATGTTATATTATATCATATATTGCAACTACAACACATGTAGTGTATATATACACATTCATGTTTCTCCACTCACATGTACACAGGTTTTGTGTGTGTGTGTGTGTGTGTGTTTGTGTGTGTGTAGAGTATATAGTAGGTCCATATTTAAGTAGGCCAGTAATATCTTATTCTTTTCTTTCCAAACCTTGTAACTCTCACCTCTAAAGCGTGTACCTCCACCACTAGCACCACCTACTGGTGAGTGTGGAGCACTGTAGAGGAACAACTACCTATCAGGGTCCAGACGACGGTGTTGCTGTATGAGGGTCAATCCGTGCCACGTGAGGAAGGAGAGGAATCACTGGACTGTTGATGGATTGTAATTGAAACAGCGACAGAATCAGATGTTTCAGCGAATGCCGCCACAGAAAAAGTTTACGTAGATGGGTCGATAAAGTTTTGGACTGTGATAGCAGATTGCAGTCATATCGCATTTCTTATAAACATATAATATGAACAGCAACAACAACAAAAGTGTTTTTCTGTTGGGTTTTTTTTTACGTTTGAAGAAATGGTCGTCATTACCTTCAGTTGTATTGGATTTGACTGCGACTCTGTTTCCCCCTCCATCGGCACAGTGAGCGGTGAGTAGATGATGAGTGAATTTTAATTTTTCTGTGAACTATCCCTTTAAGTACTGTAACAACGTATTTGTACTTCAATACTCCCCACGCTCATGTGGACAGGGATGGTTAAAAACTTTGGGTGTAGCCTGATCAGCTCCTGGAGTTTCACTGAGCATCACAAACTTTCTGATGCTGCCTTTGTCCTTCAGGTCTCCCCCCCCCCCTCTCAGCTGTGTGGCACTAATCACCCCTCATACTTCCTCCCTTCCCCCTCCCCTGTAGTTTCCACGCAGGAGCAGCCCTGCGTGTTTTTCTCCTGAGATGAAGTGCACCGTGCGTTTCCCCCACAAGCCTGGAAATGGATCTGAAGCTCTGAGAACATCTTGAAATCCAGTGACTCCAGTGTTGATCTTCACATCATCCTCATCCACAGCAGCAGCATCATCCCAGAGAAGATGGGCTGCTGCTCCGCAAGATGCATGCTGGTCCTCCTGTGCTGTCTGCAGCTGGTAGGATGTTTTCTCCCTCTCTCTCGCTCTCACACATGAGGCTTCGACACCAACACATCTGGCCTGTCACTGTCTGTCCCCCCTGCACCGCTGGAAACAACCGAACAACACGAGAGATCTGCATTTTAATGAACCCTGAGGAGAGCTGGGGTTTATTCATGAGAAGAAGTTCCTTTGTTGTTTTTGAAGTCCTCGTCTCTGTTATGTCTTTCTAACTTTATCATTCCAGAGAAAAGTGCAGGTTTTCTGTCTTGATCGTTATCAAACTGAACATTTGTGGGTTTTGAAAAAAAAAAAAAAAAGCAATGTGATGATGTCATACTGGGCTGTGGAAAACTATAACCACCGGTTCACTGTATTCTGACTATTCAGATGAGTCAGTAAAGACAGTAACTGTTCCAGAGCCCAGAGAAAACACCACGATTTAATGAATTCTGTTCAAAGTCAGCTTGTTGGAGCTGCAGGTGTTTATCAAAGCCACCTCAGACACTACAATGAGGGGCTGCACCCACTTTGTCCTGCTCCCTCTGATTCCCACCCCGCCCCCATCTCTTCATCTGACTGATGAAGCCCCCCCCCCACTCAGAGGACATCACCCCAGTCTTCTGTCCTCTGTGGCTCAGTGGCCCTGACATCTGATTATAAGAAGAATGTTCAACCTTGTGTGATGGAAAAGCAAAATAAAAACAGTCTCCCACACAAACTCATCATGTCTCTGCTCCTGTTCACCTCCAGATCGCTGCTGTGGAGCGGCAGGTGTTTGACTTCCTGGGTTACCAGTGGGCTCCCATCATGATCAACTTCTTCCACATCATCGTGGTCATCCTGGGCCTGTTCGGCACCATCCAGTACAGATCAAGATACGTCATCATGGTACGGAAACTGTCCAACGTACAGAGCTTTTCACTGTTACTTCATACGACTTTGTTTTGAATTATTACTTTGCTTTACTTTATTAACTTTACTTTACTTTTTGGAGAACAAGTTCTTTTGATGAGTAGAAACAACAACACAACAACTCAAAAGTCCTGCATTCACAATATTTGGTCAAAGTACAGGGGTATTCTACGTAAAGTATCAAAAGTTATTTTTTTGTTGTTTGTAGTAATGTAGATGTATTGGCAGGTTTTACAGTTGCAGCTGCTTATGCTGTAGTTTTTATGACTTTAATTACAGTTGGATAGTTTAGTGCCAGAGGCTGAGCTCCTCTGAAGTTTTACATTACATGAAAAGAGTTTGTATGTTTCTTTTGGACTTTCCTGTAATCTGTTTTTTTGTGAAACTGGATAAATGAACTCTTTATGTTTAGAGTTTTAGATGGAATTCACTCACTGCTAACAAGACAATGTTCAGATTGGTTTAATCTTAATTTAACAATCAATCGTATTTCATAAGATTATTGTAATCAGTAAGTAACGCTGCCAAATAACATGATAATAAGGATTAAACTGAGAAGCCTGAAGTAGTAACCAACAACATGTGAATACACAGTTTGTGTATAACAGATATTTGTCTTTCTTTTTGCTTGACGTTTATCTTGGGGACCTGTGTCTTTGTAAGAATAAAAAGGAGCCTCGTGTCGCACAGTGTTGGAGAGTTGTTCTTCATGGTCTCTGCACTGTTGTGTTTTTGTGTTTGTTTGCTCAGTACCTGCTCTGGACGATGTTGTGGGTTGGCTGGAATGTCTTTGTGAGCTGCCTTTACTTGGATCTGGGAGGACTTTCAAAGGTACGTCTAATGGTCATGACAGTGTCGCATAATTAGAGACTCACACAGCTACACACAGCGTCTAAACACTGTGTTCAGCTCTTTCTGTGCCTCACACCCATATGACCAGTGACACACACGATGAACAGACTGCACAGTGTGTTTCTGATCTGTCCTGCTGTGTTAGTATTAAATAATTATAATGGTGATATGTTATGTAGGTTTTTGTTTTCTGAGATCATAAATTTAATGCTTCTGTTATTGAAATCCTGGAGGTTGAAACCAGCTGAGAGCTAAAGTTCACAGAAAATATTCAGTATGTGATTTAATAATATCTTTCACCGATGGTCAGACTGAGGAAAAAGTTTTAAAATATCAGGGGTCTGATGGATTCTGATGTAAATTTAGCTGTATTACTTTTTCTAATATTTTTACTTCATTATATTTTATATTAGATTATCTGAAGCTGAAATGTTCACATCTCTTCAACCTGTTAAATCACTGCAGGACAGCGACATCCTGACCCTCAGCGTGTCGTCACATCGCTCCTGGTGGAAGGACAACGGGCCGGGGTGTGAGCGTGAGGGCCTTCCCTCCACCGGGTGGCACAATCAGCAGAACCCTGAGCTGACCACGGTGCTGAGCTGCTGGCTGGAGTATCAGTACATAGAGATCCTGCACTGCATCGTCCAGCTGCTCATATCAGTGAGTGTCCGCCTACGTGACTCATTCATCACAGCAGTTTTGTGTGATATCGCTGTTAAACACTAAACAAGTCAAAGTGTCAACAGAGTTACTCCACGATGCTTTTAAAACGTAAATCAAAAAGCATATTTATGCACCATTTAATAGTGTTTTGATATCAATAAGTATTCATCTGCACACACAGATATGAACAGTTGCTTAGCAACAGCAAATGTAAATTGTGAAACACCGACCAGAACACGTAAGAATGGCTCCACTTTATCTCCCTGATATCTGGTGGTGATGGGTGAGCAAAGCTCCTGTATGGCTCACCATATATATATATATATATATAAATAATTATACTTTGCAAAGAACACTGTGCTTCCATAAAATCAAAAGTCAAAAATATTATTTTCATTTCATGTGATTAACTATTTTGCTTTTTTCTATTAATTGCCACAGCTCTTGGGATTTGTTTATGGCTGCTACGTCGTCAGCACCTTTTCCGAAGAGGAAGACAGTTGTAAGTATTTTCTGATCAATGAGATGAGACAACATATAACCATAGATATCATTTTTGTCAAATATATTTATATACATATACTTTTGATCATTTAATTCATATTAATCCACGATGAGGAAGCCTGACTTTGTGTTTCCCCAGAGATCTACATGTACTCTATTCCATTTTTGATGTATACTTTCTTTTACATTTGTTGTTGTTGATATTTTTGTACATATTTTAATTTTTCCCATTTATTATTATAGTTAATTTCAATGCTGAATTTCATCATCCATCCAAACCCCCTCACTTGCTCTTCTAGTAAAAAGACTTGATGGGTAGGTATCACTGCCGCTCATCACTCCTGTTTGCCTCTGGTCTGTCAGTGAAAGTTGCATCACCTTTTTTTTATCCAACATCTGAAATGTTTCTTTAATTTTGTTCAGATTATAAATAACCTCAAAAGAAGGAGGTTGGGAAAAGCTGAGAGAAGGAACCAGTCAGAAGATGAAACAACTTTGAAGACTCATCGTGCATCTGCTTCGGTCTGTTAATAAAACACTGTCCAGAGTCAAGAGGAGAATTTCAAGTATATCACTGTAGAAAATACATATATCTATTTATGATGTGTTTTCCTCTAGTGCCAAGTGCTGTAAATCTGAACATGAGTGTGTGTGTGTGTGTGTGTGTGTGTGTGTGTGTGTGTGTGCGCGGGTGTGAGATATTTAGCACTCAAGTACAGTTATCTTAAAGAAAAATAAGAAGCTGATTCTTATGTCAAATGTATAAATGATGTCATTTCAGTTAGAAAAAGTAACCACATGTTCTGTAGATTATATAATTCAGTGAAATAAACCACATCTACAACAAACCACGAGTGTTTTTTGTGTAACACACGTTATTGGACATATTCCAGGTTCATCTTTATCGATTCAAATCATGTTCTTCTACAAAATCAAACTGTTTTTTTAGGTCTGTAATTAATGATGATTTTTATTAAGAATGATAATTTCTCGAATAATTGTTTCATTATCTGGTCAATGAAATTGGGAAAAGAAATAGAACAGTCTAAGGTGACTAAGTCTAAGTAGTTATCAATACATTTGCTGGCTCTATCATCAACTTCTGATCAACAAACAGAGCTAAAATAATTTGAATTTAGTGTCACATAAGACAAAGAAAAGCAGCAGCTCCTCAAATATATCAAGATGGAACTGAGGGAATTGTTGGATTTTAACTTGACACGCATTTCATCTGGTGACTGATTCATTGATTTTTATACCAGTGTCCAGGCAACAAGAAGTTTTAAAAGATCGAATTGCAATTTTGTCATAAAAAATATACACTTCAGTATGTTATTAAAAAACCCCTGTGTATTTTAATAAAGATTTAAGTTAAACA